CGGTATTTTTTGGGTATTGAGGTTGCTAGATCCAAACAGGGGATCTTTATCTCTCAGAGGAAATATGTCCTAGATCTGCTGGCAGAAACTGGAAAGTTAGGTGTCAAGCCTGCGGATACACCCATTGAACAGAACCACAGGATTAGTGCAAAGAGTGGGGAGCTTCTTGAAGACAAGGTTATGTTCCAGCGGTTGGTAGGAAAGCTCCTATATCTTCTTGCCAGCCAGTACATGCATTCTCCTAGAACTACACATCTTCTTGCGGCAGAAAGGATATTAGCGTACTTGAAGAGATGCCCGGGTAGGGGTATACTGCTCAAGAACAATAACCACATGAAGGTGGAGGTCTATACGGATGCTGATTGGGCTGGGAGTGTTAATGACAGAAGGTCTACCTCAGGATATTGTGCTCTTGTGGGAGGTAATCTTGTCTCTTGGAGAAGTAAGAAACAAAGTGTTGTCTCCTGATCTAGTGTTGAAGCAGAATACAGGTCAATGGCTAACAGAGTGGCTGAAATCCTATGGCTGAGATCTCTTCTTGAGGAGTTGGGTATTGAGTATGAGAAGCCCTTGATGTTGTATTGTGATAATCAAGCAGCTATTAATATAGCACATAATCCAGTGCAACATGATAGAACCAAACACATTGAAGTTGACCGACATTTTGTACGACAGAGGGTCTCATCTCAAGAAGTATGCCTCCCTTACATCACATCCAGTATGCAACTAGCAGATATCCTCACTAAAGTCGTATCAAGAAAGAAGCTAGAGGCGGATCTATCCAAGTTGGGAATGATAAACATTTATTCCCAACTTGAGGGAGAGTGCAGAGAACACTGATGTGGGCCCCACAGCTGTGGTCCCACTCTGTCCGTAGGGTAGAATGTTCCCTAGTCATCCTAGGGTTAGCTGATGGTCAATCTGTTATTCTAGTTGTTATTTATATTTCAGTTTTATATTGTTTTGTGTTATGTAAATACCAAGGGCAGATTTGTCCTTTCATGTAACTAGCATGACCTATAAATACTAAATAGAAGTGGCGGCGGCAGAACATTCAGATTCTATCCTTCCTTTCAATTCTTGTGTTCTACTGCTCTCTCTCTACTCTTTCTCCTCTCTCCTCTATACTTTTTCCTCCTTTTTCGAACCTGAAATCTATTAGGGTTCAAGGCTGCAGCCTTGAACATCTACTAAAGGAAATACTAACCTACTGCCCCAAATACAAGAAATCTATTCACCTCAACAGCTTTCTTCCAACTATTCTCTCTAGTTGATTGCTATTAAGGACGGATTATTCAGACATCCTCAAACTTCTATTGATTGTTGTTAGAGACTTTTGTCTTATTATTCTTTTGGTGTGCTAGTTTGCAACTTCTGGTTATATTAACTAGCTAGGAGTTTGGGCATATTACATCTACAATTATAGGATGTCTTTCTAATATTGACCATAAATTGGAAAAGGAAATAAAGATTCCAACCAAAAGAGAAGATGGATAATGTATTCTTATGTTAAATCCTAGCCCTAAGAAAATAGAAACCTCAATCTTATATCCCCTAGGCATATTTGAGGCTGAGTGTGTTAATAAATGAGAATTATTTGATAATCTAGAAAAATATAGGTTGTTGGTTCAAACTAAATTACTTAATCATCACAAGACCTAGCATCTCATTTATGGTTAGTGTGATGAATCGATTTATGCATGTTCCTGGGCTTCCCCATTAGGACTTTGTTAATAGAATATTGTGATATCCCAAATGAACTCCTAGACAATGAATATACTCAAGAGGTCATTTGTAGGTTGAAGGGTAAATAAATGCTCATTCGACAGGAACTTCTTCTAACAAAAGTCATCTACATTAGGGTATTGAACCTTTCTGGGGGAACATTGCCAAGAAGAGCACGAAATGAAGTGTAACTTCAATAAATAATGTTGAAGTATGGAGCAATGGTTGTACTGCATGTTAATGAATATGGTTAAACCATTCACTGTAAGAGATTGAATATATGGTTTCACCTTCCATGAAATTCTCTAAAAACCAGGTTGTTGCTCACATTTCATCCAATCTAGTATTTTATTAAAGGACAAAATATAAAAGCTTCAGTTGAGATTCACTGTAAGAGATTTGATTACTAAATTTTTTAGTTAAAGAAGGGTTGATAACATTTGTAACAAGCTAGGTTATATTTTATATGCAATCCATTATTTGAAGGGGATACTAGAAACAATATTGAGAGGTTTAGAGGGTATTTCCGTCATTAACTCAATTAGGTATAGGATATTGAGAAAAAACTGACATAACAACCAACCTTCCAAAGTAGCATATACCTCCCAAAACCATTGAAAATAAGGTTGCACTTTCCCATCTGCAAGAATAATTCAAAAGCTAATGTCACTTATAATATTGCTACCTAAGAGTGCTAAAAATGAAAACCAGAACATTCATAAATTCCAATTAAATATCAAACAAACACCTGTGCAAGTATACAAAAAATAAATCTAGGGCAAAGTACTTAAACTACCCCTATGTTTTCTGACAATTGACTAAAACATACCCAACTATTTGAAAATTCCCTTAAAATACCCCCAAGTACTTTGATAATTGACCTCATCATTAAATATTAACAGCAAAGTTGATATCTTATTTTCTTTTATAATGTTAAACTTGTACTTTTACCCCTTTTAAATATGAAGCTATGTTTCTGGATTGGCTTGACAGATTGAGACCAACCGAACATATCTGTTGTATCTTCATCTTCTCTGCTTCACTTGGCTTAGGCAAATTGTTCACAGCAGTCATCTTGTGGGATCATCCCTAAAACGGTTTTCTCTGTTCAGAGCAACCAGCAGAAGAGTTCTTATTAGAACTCTCTTGTAACACATTAGATTGAGCTGAAACTTTACTGGTAGTGTTGCCTCATCCAGTTTTTCTCTCCCTAGATGTCACATCATTTTTCATGCAGTCTTGGAGATATGGAGAAGTTCTGATCTTCTCTTCTGGGTGGCAGCAGGGTTTCCTTCCATTTTTGGACTGCAATTTTAATTTCTCATTTCCTCTGCGATTTGGACAGCATTCCTCAACTTCAGAGGTCTTTCTTAAGGGGCTATATAGATGGCTCTACAACTATGCCCGATACTAGTGATGCAAAGGGGCTGAAGCAATGGAAGATTGAGAATGAACAAGTCATTTCCTAGATCTTAGGTTCAGTCATTGTTGATGTGGCTATTCCTATGAGAGGACTTAAGACTGCACATGACATGTTTGACTACCTTGAGAAAGTTTATTAGCAATCCAATATCTCCAGACAATATTGCTCAAGGAGAGAAAAGGATTCGAGAGTACTATGATGGATTTCTAAATCTTTGGACTGAATATGAGTTGGTTCACTTGGGGGATTTAACCACAAACTGTTGTCTTTGTGAACTATTGAGAGAGGAAACCGGCTTCTTACTCAGTCCTCTCTTGATAATAGAGCATGGCTTAGATGTCATTTTTCTGGCTACTAAGCAAAAAGGAAAGAAAAATTTATCAAAGATACAGTGTTATGAGTGCAACTTTGGTTATGTGCCATCTCATTGCAAGAAAAAGAACTTTTTTACCTACTATAAGCAACTGGTCATATCATTGATGAATGCCCCATTTGGCCCCCTAAGAAGGGAGAGAGCCTAAGGCCTATCATGCAGTGGCTGAATCACCTGATGTCTCATCTTCCTCCACTTCAGCTCCAAAGGCAGATTCTTCTAGCTCTCTTATTGAAGTTAAAATCCGTCAACTGATGTCATTTGGCTATTTCCTCTGCTTTTTCAGCTATTGGTCTATCTGGTAAGTCTATTTACTTTTGTTCTTCCCCATCAGATAAGTGGATCATTGACTTGAAAGCCTCAAACCACATGACTAGGGCTTCCTTTGGTCAGTCCCCTAAACCATGTTCCTTTGAAAATCACATTGTTACTGCTAATGGTGAATCTCTTCCAATTTGTGGTTGTGATAACCTGATCTGGTGTCGCCTAGATCTTTCTTGGGAGACATTGGTTCGAGGCCAAACTTCCGATCTGGTGTTACCTAGACCTGATCTATTCACCCTACGAACAGCATCTGATTTGGTGAAGTTTTTGAAGGAGTTCTGATCTTCTTCTCGGGGCGGCAATACTGTACAGTTACCCTTTTTGACTGCAACAGCTTCGGACTTCAGGCCTTATAAACCAGCCAGTGATTTAGATTTTTCTCTCCAGATTGAAGGGTTCTCTCAAGCTCTTTTCAACCCTACACTTAGTTTCTGGTTTGGAGTTTTCTGAGTGCTGTTTCGACCAGCACAAGGTACCACTTTATTCTTGGAAAAGACGCCTGATATGTTGGCAAATCACAGTTTTCTCTCAATCGGCTGATTCAGTCAACCTGTAACCTTATATCTGGTGCCGTACTAGGGTTTTCTTGCTTCCCATTTAATTGTTTCAGATTTCAGATTGATATTTGAGAGCTTTTAGATTTGACAGTCCTAAAATTTGCCTTTTTTTGGACTGTCAACTTTGAGTTCTTGATTGCTGAAGTTGTTTGTTGTATATTTTCAGGTCCCCTGACTTCCTCCAGTACTGGAATACTTCTCTTTCCCCCTGGACTGGACTGTATCTGAATTTGGTTTTCTCTGATATCCCTGTGTCTGGACTGTTGTTTCTGTTTGCTGGAACACAGCAGCCGGATAAGAAGAAGAGAAGAAGAAGAGGAGAAAGTTTGAGAATGGCGGCTCTAAACTTTTCAGCCGACCCTACTATCTTATATATATGTTTATCACATAGTGTTACATGAATGGACCAGAATGCCCCTGATTAGTAATGGGACACCTAGACAAATAAAACATTAAACAAGTTTAGGCCCAATAACTAATGACTTAAGACCCAGCAATGACTAACAACATATTCATTAAATCAGCCGAACCAACACTCCCCCTCAAGCTAAGCATGGATGTCAGTCATGTTTAGCTTGCCAAGTCTAAGAATTTCGTTGAAGCTAGCCCTTTTGTTAG